ACGATTCTTCCATCCAAAATCACTATTGTCACCACCATTCGAACCTTCATCCTCCCCTCTACAAAACCTTACCCTTCACAACCCCTCATCACTCGCCGATCGGCAGCCACGACAACCGCCACATGCGACTGGTTTTCGTTGGTCTCCACCAGCGAATGGCCACTAAACGGTTGCTAGGGACACAGAGGTTTTGTAGATTTGGAGACGCTGGTTGTAGTGGTGATGTCCAATTGGATTTTCATCACCGGAATCCAGCGAAGAACAACGAAAACCTAAGCCTGACGGTGCTGACGATTGGAAGGGTCAATGTGTCGGGAACCAGAGGGGTTTTGGACGACGGACGATGGGGAAGGTGATGGAGGTGACCAGGGGGTTCAACGCCATCGAAAATAGCCCAGATTCGGTGAAAATCGAGACGGTGCGCAATCACTGAGGGTGTAATTGAAGTAATTTCAAAATAAGATGGTTATTTTTATAATTTTAGTAATTTAGGGGTTAAAACATAATTTATTAATTTAGGGTTCAAGGCATTATGGTAATTGTTAATGTATGTCCTAGGAACCAATCGTGTCGTCGGTTCCAAGGCATTAAGTTTTGTGTATATATGTTATATATTTTGTGTATATATATATAATATATTATATATATATATATATATATATATATATATATATATATATATATTATTTTTTAATCTTAATCAATAGAAGAAACTGTTTTTATTTCACATGTGGTTTATTGTTTCATTTATATATATGTATTACATGTGAAATGTCCGGATGCATGATACAAATCTTTAAAAGATCAAAATCATCAAAGCATTCCCTACATATGTAATATTAATTGGGCAATAATATTACATAGTAGGCATGCTGAATGCCTTTGTAGAATATCATGTGATTGTATTAGTATGGGTGATTATAAAAGTTATATCACTAGGGCATTAGCATGGATAAGCGGTTAGTAAACTGTTTATCGAATATGACCATTTATGATGAATCACATGGACATTTAAAATGTAGTCAATGATTTATTATAAGATCGTACTAGTGTATTATTAATCCTTAGACCTGAGATATCACAGTTGGATTCTGCATAAACGCATATGATTCATATGGTGTATAAACACAAGGCTAATCATGTCATGTGTTAATAAGCTGATTTGACCATGTGTTGTTTATGTGTGAGGACAAGTGATAGCCAAGATGGGATCCGTTGACTTGGTATAGATTGATATCAAGTTTCTAGACAAATGTCAAGATACATTGGAAAGGGGAAATCTCCAGCCGAGGTATATAAAATGTTACTTGAAAGTTTGTTTCTTGGTGACACATTCCATATGTATTGATTGTCAATTTGATATAAAATTAAGATAAGGATTTTGACATACCATGAATCCATTCTTAATTGGGATTAAACAACGGAATGATTTGATTATACAACGTGTATGATTATAAAAGGGTTCGTTGGAGTATATCTTCATTGTGACTTAAGGGTTATGGAGCATTGCTAGATGTCTGTCATAATCAATGGAAGTTTTAATCATAAAGATTTATGATAAAACATATGGAAATAGACTATGATATTGGGCCCACGGCTAGACCGCTGTGAACCTAAGAGGTCACACATAAAAACTAAGGAGAATGTAGAAATAGCCAAAGAGAGTTGATTATCCAAGGTTGGCTAGCACCTACCAAGGGTAATAAAGTTATTTATATTATTATCATTGAATTAGATTCAATAAAGGGTTATATTAGTTATTATGAATATTTTAAGAGTTAAATTGCTAATTGGAATTCAATGGAATTCCAATTCATAATTAATCATTTTCTTTATATGAAATTGGATTTAATAATGGGTTGTAATTGTAAACATGTGAACAATTTAAGAGTTAAATTGTTATGTGAATAATTTAAGAGTTAAATTGTTAATTGTGATTAAATGTTAATCCAATGTTGTTATTTAAAGAAGTATAACAACTTCATAATAATTATGGAATTATTTACAACTCAAAAAACAATTATGGAATTGTTTAAGGAAGTCCAAAACAATTATTGAATTGTTTACAAGGCTACATATATAAAAAGAAATATATATAAATTTTTGTGTAAAGATCAAAAATCTGTAAGAACCCTAAATATCTCTCTTGGCCTAATTCTTCTTCTACCTTGGTGTGGATACTCTTTTGTTTAATTTCTCTTGAAATTAAAAGTTTCCAAGGTTGCTAAGGACTTAAGGTAACATGTTATACCTTACTTGTTTTCAATTTGATTGAAATTTTTTGCAAAATATGAATATACATGTTATAGTATCACATGCATTATTCTCCATGTATTCAATCTTACAAATGGTATCAGAGCCAAGGATTTGATCCTTATTTGTCTAAAATTGGCCAAAAAGTTCATGTTCATATGCTTAATAATGTCGTGTAATTTTTCAAATTTTGATTTGTGAAGTTACATGTTAACTTGCTTTGTAAGATTTGTAGATCCATGCATATGTATCCTTTATATGTTATAAAAATTTGTTTTGATCATGTTAGTTGACTAGCAAAATTTGGCCATGGCATAGTTTTTGAAATTTTTAATTTCAATTTATGTTCTTATGTTTTTTGTTTGAAGAACATGATGGTTATGGCACAAGCATCAAGATTTAATTGAAATTTTGATATTTGATTGAAGTTGGCCAAATGAGATTTGGGTTAAAATGTTGCTTTTTCAATATTTATGGCTTGAAGAATATGATTCTTGGTGTTTAGAACATTGTATGGATGCAAATATGTCAATTTTGATGAAAATTGATCACTATGTTTGGCTTACTATTTTTATCCAGATTCTGGGTCCTATTCTCCAAATAACGTTTGACTTACTATTCCAAGAATATTACCCTATTTTTTTAATTACTTTTAGACCCCATAAGGTTATTAATTTCATCAAATACACCCTAAAAAAAAAGTTTAAAAATTATCAAAAACACCCCCGCAACCCATACTCGCCAGATTCCGGCAACCACCATCGGTGGTAGCCGAAATCTATACAACGGCCACCCTGCCGACCATAAATGGCCGGAAGTTCACCGATCTGGCCTTTTCCGGCCAGATCCACCACGGATTTGGCCGGGAAAGGCCAGATCTGGCCGTGAACGACGGCCAAAGAAATGGCCGTCGTTGAGGTCAACGACGGCCAAAGATGGCCGTCGTTTTGGCCTTTTTCGGCCGTCGACGGCCACGGCAGGCCGTAGATCTGGCCTTTTCCGGCCAGATCTGTGGTGGATCTGGCCGGAAAAGGCCATAACGACTCGTTACGACACAGATCCGACCGGTCTGTGTCGTAACGTGATTTTTCGGCCAGATTCCGGCGGTGGTGGCCAGAATCTGGCACTGCAGGTGGTGGGGGTATTTTTGTCAATTTACATGTTGGGGGTATTTATGAAATTAGCAAACTTAGGGGGTTTTTCTATAAATTTTTAAATTTTACCTCGTAATACTCCCATATTCAATTATCCAATACTATCCCCAAAATCCTACCCAAAATAATAAACCAAACGCATACGATGTTGTTTACATAATTTTGATTATGCGAAATTTTGGCCATGACAAGTTTGTAAATTAATTATTGATTAATTAGCATACTTGTTTAGACAACTCAAATTAATGTTTTAATAGTGATTAAAATGTTCATGGATGTATAGAGATGAATTTTGCTCATGCGAGGAATAGTTGCATATTTTTTAATTAGGTGCAAAAAGGGTTTTTGATCTTGATTGACATAATTTGTTATGTTACATTATGTTTGTTAAATATGTGATTTAATAGACATTAAAGGGTATTAAGATAATTTGTCTTAAAAAGTTAAGGGTAAAATTGTCTTTGTACCAAAAACATGGAAAAGTAGTGTGAACATAATTAATTATGAATTATGTGTTTGATAAGATTAATTGGATTAATGTATATTAATATGCCATGTGTCTTATAAGATAAGTATAATTTTCTTCACCAATTTTTAATGGCCAAATATTGGTTGAATAATTGCTTATTTAATGTAAATGTTACATTATACCCTAAAGTTTAATAAATTATTTTTTAATTAATGTTTATTGATGGGCAATTTATTGAATATAATTTATATATGGGATATATGTGTGTTATATTTACATAATGCATATTTGTTATGTTTGATAATATGTGATGCCATATTGAAGCATGTAATATGCTTGTATGTTTTATGCATATTAATTATGCCATTGTTTATAGTTAAGTTTTAATATTTATATGAAGTGTTGAAACTTAATTTTATGGCATGACATTTAGTTTTAGGTTTGCAGTTTGCAGTTTGGGGTTTATGTTTTATATTTAGTTGATACATATGGTGGATATGTATAGGGTAGATATTAAAATATTAACCTAGAACAAAACCTAATCTTTAAATCTTCCCTAATTAAAATATTAAGTCTAAGCCTTCCATTATGAGTCAATTAATTCTTTGTCATAGAATTAGAGATCCCAAGATTTCTATTATATGAGGGATGCTAATTTATGACCTAGAATTGATTGTCTTAGTTCTTGGATAGAAATTCATATTATACCCAAGATTTCTATTATGTGAAGGTATAATAGGAATTCTATTTTAAGAAAGCATAATGAGTCGGATTTAACTAGTTTAGGGTACCAAAATTTCCATTATGTGAGGTATCTGAAACTAGAGGCAAGGAAATGAATCATAGCTTATATGGTGATATAAAAGGAAATAGTTTCCTACTTATTGAATTTAATGGACCAAGATTTCTATCATGTGAGGCTTATGAAATTTGATAAGAATTTGATTCCCCACTAGAAATTTTAGTCCAGCAAAATTTTCGAATCTTTATCCAGAAAAGTATAGGATTTGAATAAAATAGTGGGAGCTAATTAGATTAGTTTAATAAAAGATATATATAACAAAACACTCATAATGTTTTTAATTTCCTTACAGCATCTCTCATAAAATATAAAACTGTGAAAGATGAATAATCTACTGTTGAAAATCCTAGATGATAATAACAAGGTAGTTGGCCATAGTAATTTCAATGATTGGCTGAGGAAACTGACAATAATATTGAATTCAGAAAACGCAGCTTATGTTTTAGACACGCCCCTGCCTGAACCTCCTCCTTCTGATGCTCCTTCTGATGAGCATAGCAAATATAAAAAATGGAAGGAGGATGAACTTAAAGCTTGCTCTTATATGATGGCATCAATGAGTGACGAGCTCCAGAGAAAGTGTGAAAAGATGAAAAGTGCTAATGAAATTTACCTCGCGTTACAAGGGTTGTACCGTGAGAATTCGAGGATAAGGCAATATGAATTAAGTTCAACTTTATTCAGAATGAAGTTGAAAGAGGGTATGTCACTAGAAGAACATGTCATGAAAATGATTAACATTCTAGGGCAATTACATGCCATGAGAATTGAAATGCCGGACACGCTCAAGGTGGATTTAGTTCTCCAATCTCTACCTCCAAGTTTCACACCTTTCATCAATAATTATCATCTCAATAGGATTGAGATGAAACTTCTTGATTTGTTGAATGAGATGCAACAGTTTTATGATCAGAAAAGAAAAGGTAAAAGGCAGGAGGTTGTAAGTATGACTTCTTCCAGTAAGACTAAAAAGAAAAAGCCAATGAAATCCCAAAAGAATCTGGGAACAAAACCCAAAGGAAAGGGGTTTAAGAAAAAGGTTGCACCTCAAGCCAATAAATCAAAAGAAAATGGTCAATGCTTTTAGTGAAAAGAAAGCGGGCACTGGAAAAGGAATTGTCCTTTCTATCTAGAAAGTCTTAAGAAGGCTAAAGCTCTTCTCATTGAGACGATTGGATCAGGTATGTCTCAATGCTATGTCATTAAATTTGAATTAAATGTTAGTTCAAATAATTCAACCTGGATATTGGATTTAGCTGCTACTTCACACAGTTGTGTTTGTTTGCACGATCTGCAGAATAGTTCTACTCTAGCAAAAGATCAAGTCATGTTAAGAATGGCGAATGGAACAAATGTTGCTGCCGAAGCCATGGGAACATGCAGTTTGATGCTCTCATTAGGACACTTTTTGTATTTGTACAATGTACTGTATTTTGCTAAAGCCATTAGAAATATAATTTTTGTTTCTGTATTATGTAAATATGGTTACAGTGTACAGTTTAATAGAAATGACTATTTAGTTTATTTTGGAAATAAACTTGTTGGCAAAGCTATCAATACAAATGGTTTGTATGTGCTAGAATTAAATGGTCATAGCATAAAGAATTCCATAACTAATAAACGAACTCAAAATGAAATTAATCCTAAATTACTTTGGCATCATAGATTAGGTCATATAGGAGACATAAGAATAATCCAGTTAGGAGAAAGTGGACTTTTAAGTTCATTGGGTTCAGAACTTTATCCGACCTGTGAATCTTGTCTTCAAGGAAAAATGACCAAGTCACCCTTTAAGAGTAAAGGGGAAAGGGCCAAAGAATTGCTGGAATTAATACATACAGATGTATGTGGACCATTTAATGAAATGGCCAGAGGAGGTTTTCACTACTTCATTACCTTTACTGATGATTTTTCAAGGTATGGGTATTTGTATTTAAAGAAATACAAATCAGAATCTTTTGAAAAGTTCAAAGAATTCAAGAATGAAGTAGAGAAACAAACTGGAAAGAGAATTAAAATTCTACGATCAGATCGTGGATGTGAATACTTAAGTACGGAATTTCAAGATTTTCTAAAAGAAAATGGGATTATATCACAATTAACTCCTCCATTTACACCACAACACAATGGTGTATCTGAAAGGAGAAATCGTACTTTATTGGATATGGTGCAATCGATGATGACTTTTAAGGACTCGTCGATTTACTTGTGGGGGTATGCCTTACAAACAGCAGTGCATATTTTAAATAGAGCACCATCTAAATCAGTCCAAAAAACACCATATGAAGTGTGGTATTCTTAACTATTTAAAGGTCTAGGGTTGTCGAGCTTACGTCAAGATTGTTAAAACAGACAAGTTGGACATAAAATCTGAAAAAGGTCGATTTATAGGATATCCTAAAGAAAGTTTAGGATATTATTTTTACTTCCCTACTGATTAAAGAATTTCAATCAGTAGAAATGCACATTTTCTTGAGAAATAATTCTTAGAAGAAGGAGGTGCAGGAAGAAAAATTGAACTCAAAGAATATTCCGAAGAGTCTCAAATCGATCATACTCAGATAGGTGAACCAGATCAAGAACCTTCAACGCATGACACAATGGTTCCAGCTCGTAAATATTCTAGAATATCTCGACCTCCAGAGAGATATTATGGCTTTCTACATGAAAAAGTTTTTGAATCTTTTTCAGTGGGAGAAGTTGATCATGGAGATGATCCTAAAACTTATGAAGAAGCGATATTAGATATCGATTCTGGAAGATGGCTAGAAGCGATGAATTCTGAAATAGAATCTATGTACTCTAATCAAGTTTGGACTCTTTTTTATCCTCCAGAAGGAATAGTTCCTATTGGTTGTAAATGGGTCTTCAAAAGAAAGGTTGGCGCAGATGGAAAGGTAGAGACCTATAAGGCTAGACTGGTAGCTAAAGGTTATACTCAGAAACAAGGGTGACGCACATAATATGGTTAATTTTTTTTCTTTGGATATAATTTGGATAGTTTTGTAGTGAATACGGTATTTGTGGAATAAAATTCTAAAACCAACCAAAACACTCCAATTTGGAGTGTTTTATAAACCCCTCAAAAATACGCTATATTGGTTCTGAGGGTTTTTTAGCTAGTCAAAATCAGTACATAAAAAATCTGATAAATAATGATTTTAGAACACCTTAAAACTAGTTTAATTAAAAACCTCTCAAAACCATTGAAAAAAAACTCTCAAACACACTCTTAGACACTAAACAAAGCTTAGAAGGACAGATGGGACAAATATATATATATATATATATTAATGGTAAATCAGGTATTGTACAAAAGAAAGAATAAAGAATAATTACCTAAAAAAGGGACACCCCTTTACAGTTTAGACACACTAGGACAACCCAACGGACAAGGCAAGGCAAAGGCGAAGAAAAGCCAAAGGAAACACTAGCCAAAAGCGCAGGAAACGCAGAGAGCACTAGATACTACTGTTTATACAAAACAAAAGCCATGCAAAAAGAGGCTTCAGCTTCTTGTCCCACCAAAAAACTAACAAAAAAAACCTGGAAAACTGATTTTTACCTTGACAAAGAAAGCAAAAGGAAATTGCATAAAGCATGAAGCCAACTTAGACTAATACTTCGTTACTTATAAAAAAAATGGAATAAAGACTTTTTAAGTAATGTATTTGGATTTGAGTGATAGTCGTAAACTAATAAAAGACATTTGCATAACTAAAACTTCCTACCCGCCCTTTCATACTCGTTCTCTAAAGCCGTCTCACCGGGAGAGATGAAACCAGAAACTAATTAGCATGGTCCAGCTCCACACAACCAGTTAAAGCCGTCTTACCGTCTCTGAGTTTGTTTGATTCTTGCACTTAGAACCTTAATTTGGACTAGTTAAGTAGAATAATATTACATCAGATCATGAATTTTGGTTTTAACAACTGTGAGTATGAAATGGTCACGCAAATGCAATCCTCCAGATTGGTTTTGTCTTGTAGATTGCACACGCACGCATGCATAACAGTTGGCGTCCACAACCAATTAATATATCTTCATTAGTTCAGCAGTCACTGATTTTTCTTTTTCAACTGCAGCGCTAATTCTACATTAACATCTCAGGTTACTGCATAACTTTTGTTAACCCATTTAAACTTATGATATGTGTATTATTTAGTCTCCACATATTGATGGATGGTCTTAACACCTTAATTAATAGTAAGGGCGTCTGCCATAGTGTGCAGCCTGGCTAAAATTAATGGTGCTCTTCATTTTCTCGCTTTCTGTCTATGGAGGCTGCAACCGTACGATAATTTTATACATTCCAATTGAGCAATGTTCCCGTGTAAAAAATTTCAGACAAAAACGCTATTTAGTTATATTCTCCTGCGATTCGATCACCTTAACTACATGACAAAATGAATAGCTAATGTTCTCCATGAACACAAGAAAAACCTGTTATATCCAACCAAGATCTCTCTGTCACACCCTCGCATCAACCATAGACCTTATGCTTGAAATTGAAAAAGGAATAAACACTCTTATTGATTAATATAATTCGGTACAAATAATGAAATAAAAGCTTCATTACATAATTTAAAAGCAAACAGAGCTAAAGAACTCATCATGAAGAGAAATAAGTACTTAACTACACCCGTAATGACAATTTATGACCAAAACACAATTAACAAATCAAATAACAACGATATGTTTAATAAAAGATTGAAAGAATCACTAGTGTGTGAGTCGCTATTTAGTGTCCCTCACCAGGACTTGGTCCAGATTTCGTGACTCCTAAAGTCTGAGCATCCGTGAACTCGTGACCCTTTCCTCCTCCACTTGGACCTCCGGTTTTAATAGCTTGAATATTCAAGCCATCGAACAGAATCTCGATCCCTTTGTTTATAGGGTTCCGGGACGGCGCATCATTGAGAGGACGAGCTTCTGAAATGAATAGAGAAGAGCTTACTAAAAGAAGAAGGAAGAATAAGCAAAGAGACTTGACAGTTGTAGCCATTTGGAAGGTGAATGAATGCTTTGGTTAACTTGGGCAAAACTGAATATTCAGAGAAAGTTGTGTTGTTTGATATGCAAAAAGAGTGGAGCTTGGTGTGGTATTTATAGAAGCGCGCAGCAACGTAGAAATGCAAGAGCAAAATTTGAGTGAGGAAAATATGAGGAAGTTGGCCGCCGTTGAAACACGTGGGCGTTTGTGACAAATATGGGGCCGCCTCCTCATCAAGGAATGAGAAGTGAGAACGTCAGTCCTTAGGTTGAGGAAGGAACGCATTAAAACAGAATGTAGTCCAAGTTTGAAGTTTCATCTAAGTAGTTGAATATGAAGTTTGATTGAGATAATTTTCTTCATTAATTTACTTAATTGTATGTATCTTTTTAACTAATAGCTTTTCCCCTGCGTAAGACCCTGCGTAATACTTTTAAAAAGGCAATGTTGAGTGGGATTTGGGGACCAATATTGTCTGCTCATTGGCACCAACATATAACAGTTTGTGCGAAAACACATCATCATCAATATATACATTGATGGTTTCATGTCACCGTTAGATTTGAATGAAACTTCTGGTCAAGGTGTCATATTTGACGGTGATGAAAGCATCATTTCCCATTTCCCCTCTACAGTAATATCTCCTTGTAACCATTTATACAGGTAGATGCATACGGATTCCTTATGGTTGGATGGTGGGGTCAAATTGAATCTGTATGCTTCCAGAGGATAATTCCAAGTTTTTAGTATTCTGCTGATTGCTTATGTGTGGCAGAAATAACAAAAATTAATAAATTTCCATTCTTTCCCTTAGTTTCCTCTTCGATTCTTGTATATACCAAACTAAAACTTATGATAATCACATTCATGTGATAACCCCATAGAAATTTATGAAAACTATTTTCCATTTTCGTCAAAACTTGAGAATGTTCAACCAAATATTGTATTTTCTACCCCAATATATCATCTTTCTCAGATAGTAACAGGGAATCTACAAGTTTTCTTTTTATGAGTCAAAGTTTAGGTTAGTCAGATTAGTGCACAGCTAGCTAGTCATAATTTTCTTGAACAAGAATTGGAAATTAGAAACGTTGAATACGGAGATTCAACTTTAGATCCTACAAAGAAAGTTCATTCGAGTAACTGGATTCTAAGGAATGGCCTGCCCAGGATACGACCACTAGTGCTTTTGATGTTTGGTTAGACGAGAATGGTTGATCTTTGTATCGTAGCTTTTGATTCCTACCCTTTGGCTTTCACACGTGGAACTAAATTAACAAACAAATTCAAACTCGATCAAACTACACTACTTTAAGAAATTTAACTTGCACTTAGTATCTTTTTTATATGTACTAGATTGGACTAGAGACCGAAATACTAGAGTCTCAAACACCCAAATTCGACCTTATGGGTTTACATGGTTATGCAAATAGGATTTGATTTACATGGTTACACCCAAACACTTGAAACTTTTCTATTCTACCAAATCCAATTCCAGGGAACTACTCAAATTTGATGTTGCGTAGCTAAGCATATTCTATATAAATATCTTCATGTAATTGGTAACTAAATATTTCTATTTCCATTATAGTTATGCAAGTAGGATTTGATATCATTGCTTGGGAAAAAAGTTTACAGTTGACCAATATTGTCAAAGGTTTGGATGGTAGATAATTGTATGGTCAGCAGTCATCAGCATGAATAAGGGATTGGAAACTTACAAAGACGTCAAAATCAATCTCCTGCATTCAAATTTAACATCTGAAGCTACAAGGAAGATTTTTTGAGTAACTGAAATTCCAAAGAATGTCCTGCCAATGATGTGACTATATGTGCTTTAAGCCTCCCTGGTCTTGGTTTACTATGGAAGTATACTGATTTGGGCAAAACAAGTTTGTTGAGGGATTTTGTTATAGAACTTAATCGCCAAGTGCACGTGGTGTGAAATTTTAGAAATTTTAGCCTTCCCGAACCCGATGAAAGAGTATGATACCACCATTTACAAACAAATTTAAAGACAAAATGAGAGTTGAGGTTAATTTAGACAGTTAATATTTGGGGTGTGTTTGGTTTAGGGAATATTGTATTACTGAGAATGTTATATCAATGGAAAGATAAATTACCTTAAAGATTACTGAGAATGTTTAGGGAAATATGTTTGGTTAGTTGGAATAAATTGGTGGGTATACTATATTAATATGTTTGTTGAAAGGAATAAATTAGTGGATATGTTATATAAATTACTAAATTGCCCTCATTTTTAAATAATAATATAATATTATTTTTTAATAGTTCCTTTTAACCCCTTACATTTCATATTTAGCTAAAACACCCCAGCATCAAAAAAGTTTAAAATTTAATAAAAACAGCACCCCCCCCCCCCCCCCCCCCCCCCCCCCCCCCCCCCCCCCCCCCCCCCGAAGCCATTGTTGGCGACCTGCCACCGCTGCTGCTGACGGAAAAAGTGGAGATCTAGCCTTGCAACAACGACCGTTTTACGGCCAAATCTTCATGGCCTGCCAAATATGGCTGGTCGTGCCCCATTTGGTTGCGGCCAGTGGTGGCCAGATCTAGCCACCACTTTTGGGTAATTTTTTTTAAATTTCAAGGGTATTTATGTTCTAAAAACTTTGTATATAAGGATAAAATAGTCAATTGGTATTTTTGTAAATTGTTTTTAAAACAAGGGCATTATTGTCTTAAAATTTTATTAATAAGGGATACAATTGTAATAAAAATAAGTAATCAGATCACCTCCTATATTATCAATAATAACTTACCGAAATCTTATATTGCTTGACAACCAAACGTGGCAATCAAGTAATATAAGATGACATTATCTCAACAATCTCCTATTACCCTTAACCAAACACACCCTTAGTGTTTAACAATTAAGGCTAGATATTAAGTCTTTTAAGTATTTTTTGCATTTAAGCCTAAAGGTAAAAGGTATATATATAGAGAGATTTATAGTGGGTCATGGAGAGAGGTGGTTGAAATGAGTGGAGAGGGATAAGTTTAATTAAGTCATAAGGGGGCTGCATGCTATTTTAAATTGGCTAATGTTAGTTTCACATGCTTTTGATTATTGCGTCTGGTATTTTAAAATAAGTCAATCTTAACAGGTTGTGTCATATACACATTCTCTTCTAGGTTTTTGTTCAAGAAAGCTGATTTGACATCCATCTGCCAAATTTCATAATCTTGATATGCAATAATCGCAAGCATAATTTGGATAGACTTAAGCATCGCAACCGATGAAAAAGTTTCTTTATAGTCAATGCTATAAACTTATTTGCAACTTTTGGCAACTAGTTGTGCCTTATAGGTATGCATGTTATCGTCCATATCAGTCTTCTTTTTGACGATCCATTTACACCCTATGGGTTTTACCCTTATAGGTGGATCCACCAGAGTCTATACTTGTTTCTGGTACATGGAGTCCATCTCAAATTTCATGGCTTCAAGCCATTTAACAGAATCTGGATCCGATAAAGTGTCATCATAGGTTCTGGGTTCATCATCTTGGTAGACCAATACGTCACCATGCTAAGTCACGAAAAAACCATTTCTCTCGTGCTCACAACGTATTCTTCTAGACCTACGTAGCTCCTGTGCAACTTGAGGTGGTTCATTTTGATCCACAGACTGTGGAGTAACCTCCTCATGATGTTCAACTATATCTTGTGGCACATCATCCCATCCTTCGTCTAATGTATCATATGGTATTAGAACTTTATCGAGTTCTATTTTTCTCCCACTAGTACCTCTTAAAAGAAATTCATTCTCTAAGAAGACGCCAATACGAACAACAAAAGTTTTACGCTCTTCTAGGCGGTAGAAATAGTATCATTTGGTTTTCTTAGGATACCCCATAAAAATATATTTATTAGACTTCGGGCTTAGCTTGTTCGAAATCAATTTCTTGACATAAGCTTCACAACCCCAAATCTTTAGATAAGACAAGTTAGACTTCTGCGCACTTTATAGTTCATATGGAGTCTTATCTATAGACTTTGACAACACACAGTTCAGTATATGGGTCACAGTCTTTAGGGTATAACCCTAGAATTAGGTATATTTAACTCAATTTGTCATACTTGGCATAATTGTTACTTTGAGAATATCCTTATTGTTTATTTGAAGAACATACAAAATATTATGAAACAGTTCCATAAAGAATATTATTTATACTAGAGGACAACAATCCAAAAGTAATAAAAGTAATACTTTTATTTGTCTAAAGTAAACATAGAAATATCATTTCTCGAAACTAAGGGTAAATCATAGCAATCCATAAGTTCCAATAACAAGCCCGTAGGCAAAGTCAAACAATAAAATCATTTAACTAATGCAACATCATGTGCTCCATTTCCAACTTGTACGTCCACATCTTCTCAACTAAGTGATCTACTCTGCCGCAGTCCTTACACATTATTAAAAATGTGAGAACCACATCCAGTGTCAATGACCTAAGATATAACCGGAGATGAATAGATCTCAATACACAGCTTTAGAAGAAGAGGCGTTCTTCTTCTTATTCTCCAAGAAGGCCTTGTAGTGTTTCCTCCTGGGGTCCCACCTTTATTGATGTCACCCTTAAACTTAAGAGCATCCATGGCCGGAAACAACCTTATCAGCTCTACCAAACGTCATTCGGGACAAGTCAAGTCTTGGCATAATCATGAAGTTCCCAAGGTTCAATCCTTAAACCTTAAAAACCGAGGGGCTTCTGTTATGCCTAAAAAATCAGGGTTGACGTGGACTATTGTCAACAAGAGCCAATCAAAATTCAGGAAGGATTTGTACCGTCTAGACGTTAACACGTCGCATAATGACGGAAGAGGTATGATTCTCGTTAGTGCAACAGGTGAGTGCCAGACTTGCGAGTGGCCAGGAATCGTCCACCTGCCCAAGCCCTACGTAATTTAAGGATATCTCTCGTATAGACAACCAATAAGAGGTGGGTTAGGAATTATACCTCACCTGTCGGACTACAGGCTCATGATTATTACCTTGAATTCTCCCACTCTAAATAGATGACTCCCCTCTCATTTATGGGATTGACTTATCTTAGTCCAAACAACACTCTCTCTCTCTCTCTCTCTCTCTCTCTCTCTCTCTCTCTCTCTCTCTCTCTCTCTCTCTCTCTCTCTCTCTCTCTCTATATATTTATATATATATATATATATATATATATATTCTCTCTAGATTGTAACTCACCTCGCTTTACTTTTATTTAGCTATCATCAAGTATCTAAGACTTTTGTGTAGATTAAGTATAGGTGTTAGTAAATGCGTTTAATATTCGCGTGAAGGCTTAATGCAAATTGGTATATGAAACACAAAGTCTTCGTCTGTCCATCTCCTTAATTCGTTTTCTTTGCTTACTCCATTTCTGGTTTAAGAAGATTGTTGTATTGAGCTCCTATTTTCATTATTGTCTGCAGGGGTTTGATGCTCCAATTTAACAATCTCATATGTTAATGTTCACCTCGTTGCCCAACAACTAAGACAAATTGTTTTCTTCTTTTAGAATATAATTATGGAAGTACAACATTCTCGCATTAAAACACATGAACAGACTATTTGCTTGCACAAGTACCCACCCCTGAAGGTATATGCATATATTTCAGTATGTCTTCAGTTAATATATTATGCAAAGTTAGATTCTGAAAGAGCATACTTTACTCAAACCTAGGAGATGCTTCTTAACTATTCAGAGAAATTCGGTTGATCATTAAATTGAACGTGTTTGGTAGATTTTATTTGAAGGCATAGACTAATGTATAGACATGCATGCCATGCTTTGTTTAAATCATAAAGAAAGTACAAGCATTCAATTTTTCCTTGCTTCTATTATTACCCCAACACATACAGTAAGCCTCTTAAATATTAATGTTCTACATTGGGCTGGCCGCTGGCGGTTCATATGGGCAGGTCTTAAGTGACAAATTTACAGTTCCTTGTATTATCCTTTTAACATAGAATGCCCGAAACTGAGATAATTACTCATTTCCCTTCCCAATTCGCACAAAAACAGACACCCAAAATTTGTCCAAAGTACGTTCATTCACTTTCAGTCAATATGACTGTAGAATTCAAGGGCTACGTATAAGAGCACCAGATTAATTATAGTCAGCACATATATTTATAAAAATTTACGATATTGGTTAGATCAATATGCGTCAATATAAAATGCTCTAATCTAGTATGACAGTATAATGCCATTGGCGGTACGTCATAGTATAGACAACTGTAATACAACACAAATGTAAGAGAATGTCTATGAGGGTGCCCAAGAAAGTGACGGTATTAAAGATAAAAAATTTCCTGCACTGCACGCCCTAAAAATCCACTTCAAATTTAGTAGCATCTACTTCAACTTTGTAGAAAGGAATCAAGGCCAATTTGCTTTTGATAACATTAAGTTTTTCAGTACTGCATCAACTCAACCACATGGGAGGTGACTGGTGAAGTATTGATTAGCTCTGATATATTTGAGATTCTGAATGTCAAGGTGGGACTGCACAGGCAGAATAAATTGTTGGTGTTACATTATCGCTAATGAGGGATAGTCTTCTTATGGCAATCCCAGATTAATTTTCTGGCGACAGCAAATTTATCTAATTAAACTTTAATTATGATTAATGATTATTGAACGCATCCTTATTCCTTACGTTTAAAATTAAAGGCCAAGTTTCAGCCATTAATTCGATCTGCTTATGTAGCTACCGATTCAGTCCAATTCTGTCAAATTGAGAAATTTCGGTACCCCTTTGATTGGACTGTATTTTGCGGTCTTCAAGCCATAAACCATTGATGTGAAAATGGATATCCCTGTAGACCCGTCATATGTTCAGTCGCAGGAAAGAATTATCGTCCACTTGCAGGAACAGAAGCATAAAAGTTACATTGAATGTTACGGACACCGAGATTGTGCATCGAATTCTTATACCGAATTACGTGTCCCGTGACTCACACCAGTCACGTTTCACATTACAAATATTTTGCTAGTGAACGGGAACGGCCGTTCACTTACGATGGACTTCCGTCCATATTATATGGATAGGAGTTCATTTACTATGGACGGGAGTCCACATTTAAAGGACGTCAGTTCATCAATAAATTAAAAAAACCATATAAACAAAAATAATGGAGACCGTTCATAGGTTATAGATGGCCGTCCCTAAATAAAGGACGGACATCCAAACTTTAAATAATAAAATTTATGGCCGAAATTAATGGACGGGGGTTTATATGTTAATGGACGCGTTTCCATTATTAATGGTTTAAAAAAATTATGAAGTCTTCTGTTTTCTTCAGTTAATGTTTCACAGCATCTCTTCAAATACTCACAATCCACCTCAGTTTGCTTCAATTTAGTCCTGCACAAATCAATCATTTTATTAAAATCAACCCATCCAATTTTAAACCATTTTTATTGCCTTCACAGCTCAATCAAAATTATTAATGAATACCTTGCTCTTCTATTCTGAAACCAAACTTCTACTTGGCGTGGACGAAGATTAAGTTGCTTTGCAAGGGCAAGCTTTTGTTTCTGCATCGTCATCCAACAAATTAAATATATATAATATACATATCATCAAAACCTCATAAAAGATTATGAAAAGTTGAAACTTTACTTACAGGATTAAGAGTATTGTGTTCTTTAAAGCTTTCTTCGAGAAAAGCAGATTGCTCTTTAGAAAGCCTGAGTTTCTTTCTAGTGCAACCATTCTCGTCTTCATCACTAAATCTTGAAGAACCTCTCTCACCCTCCGTTTCATTACCATTACCATTACCAAAATCTTTCTTATGCCCTCCACTGTACATACAAAAATCCATCTGGAACGAAGATGCCGCGCTGTTGTTAGGTGAAGAAGATAAAGCACCACCGTCTTCTGCTTCTTCAACTAAAGGGAATTTGTTCACATCAAATCCTCTTGCCATTTGCCCTGAAGAACCCGCCATAGAGCTCCCTAAAAAAAAATCCCAAAAGTGATTAAAAATAAAACACAAGAAGATTGGATTTCGAGTGTTAGTTTGGTAGTTTTACCGTTATCAGATGACCAAGGAAAGGCAAGAAGAGAAGGCGTATTACTTGAAAACCTGATGCCTTTTCCCAGATTAATGGATGGGCGTCTACTTGAAATAATATACCGCAAGGCAGGGATGGGCGTCTACTTGAAATAATATACCGCAAGGCTGGGATAGCTGTCCATAACTGATGAACGGACGTCCTTGCAATTCAGTATTTTATTTCAAGTATGGATGAACATCCATTGTATGTGGACACCCATCCATTATTTAGAGACAGTTGTCTATAACATATGAACGACCGTCTATTATTTTTGTTAATGTGTTTTTTCTATTTACTGATGAAGGGGCATCCATATTATATGAATTACCGTGAACGACCGTCTATAGTTTATGAACAACCATTTACTTGCAAAATATTTGGTAAATTTATACGTGGTTGGTTTGAGTTATAGGATACGTAATTCGATAGTCTCGGTGCCCCTATCATTATTGTAATCAAAATGGCAAGTGCTAATGCGGACAGCTTGGTTCTATATAGATTGTGGACCCAGCATAAGCTGATTTTATTTGCCACACCAACGCTACATTATTAATTATACAAAACATTAACTTCTTTTGACCAACGAGATATAATTAATTTTATCAAAGGAATTAATCTAAACTTCGGTATTTTTTAACCGATTCTGAAAATTAATAAATATCTAACATAGACTTATTAAAACGCATGTTTTCTCTGCGCTTAACAAATTCCCAATTATAAAACTATTATATTGTACTAGGTTCAAAGTTAACCTTTAATTTAATCGATTAAAGTATTATGGCTTCATATCAGTCTCCCAATTTGTCCTTCATCAATACCATAGAATAATTATGTCTCGATTGGCTTGATTGACAAATAAACCTTAGAAAATATAGAATATTTGTTTCGAGCAATCATGCAATGCAACTTCTTGGCCTGAACGGCTGAACCTGCTCTCATAGCCTAGGGCCGGCTTTCCATACTCTTCAATTAATGGAATGGACTACAATTTTGGAGTTGAAGGTAAAGTTGAAATGGGATCATTTTCATTTAATTTTTTCCATGCAACTGAATATTAGACTTTCTAGCTTTCACATTCGAGCTATGGACATTATTAATAGTATCCCATAGAACAGGCAGGGCACCCCATCCCACGTATGGATATCTCAATTTTCTTCTTTCTTCTGTTTCTCCTGCAAACTCCTCCAAATTCATCTGCAACATTTCAAGTTCTTGAAGAAGGCTCATCATTATCTGTGGACAATTCAAACGACTATTTGATTTCAGCAAATGGTGTTTACTCTGCGGGGTTTTTCAACGTTGGCGACAATGCTTTCTGCTTTGCCGTATGGTTCATCAGTTCCTCGCGTCCCGTTGCGGCTTGGATAGCTAACCGCGACAAACCAGTTAATGGAAAAGGCTCAAAGCTTTCACTTTGGAGAAACGGGGATCTTTCTTAACTGATGCAGGTGGAATCCCCATTTGGAACTCCAAAACCAATTCATCTTCTCTGGCTAATCTTGTGCTTTTAGACACTGGCAATCTTGTGCTCCGGAATTCGGAGACTGTTACCCTCTGACAGAGCTTTGATTCACCAACAGATACTCTTCTTCCTGAGCAACCACTCACCAAAGACACACAACTTGTCTCTTCAAGAAGCGAAGGAAACTTTTCTTTGGGCTTTTACAAGTTGTATTTTGACAATGACAATGTTCTCCGTCTTCTTTATAATGGTCCTGAGATATCCAGTGTGTATTGGCCAGACCCAGGGCTGATAACCTGGAACGCAGGCAGGACAACATACAACAACAGTCGAATAGAAATATTCAACAATCTAGGCAGCTTCGAATCATCAGATCAACTTTCTTTCAAGGCAGCTGATTCTGGCATGGGACCCCAAAGAACACTGAAACTTGATTTTGATGGAAATGTTCGAATGTACACCCTACAAGAGGCCACTGGGACTTGGAGTGTTTCTTGGCAAGCCATTTCTCAACCATGCATGATCCATGGCATCTGTGGACCAAACAGTCTTTGCAGTTATTCTCCTGAATCTGGTCGGATATGCTCTTGCTTACCTGGATTCAAAATTAAAAACCCCACAGACTGGTCTCATGATTGCCAACCTGAATCGCAGATTTATTGCAACCATACGGAGGTCGGTTTCCTCCCTCTCTCACATGTTGATTTTTATGGCTATGATATTCGATATATTCCAAATTCCACTTATGAAGATTGTAAAGACGAATGCTTGCAATCGTGTGACTGCAAGGCCTTCATGCTCCTGTTTCGAAACGGTGTGTACAACTGTTATCCCAAATTTCTCTTGGTTAATGGACACCGTTCGCAGAATTTTGATGGAGTCATGTACGTCAAACGGCCTAAAGCTAGAATTTCAATATCAAACAATGACACATCCAAGAAAATATTTTTGATATGTCCAAGGGTACGTCTTACTGAGCTTGAAACAATGTACAAAAGGCCCAAAGAAAATGAATCATTGAGGTTGTTGATCTGGTTCGCCTGTGGTGTTGGGGGAGTGGAAATATCCTGCATCTTTTTGGTGTGGTGTTTCCTACGTGGAGGTGATGGAGATTTGAATGCAACCATTCAAGGATATATTATCGCTGCAACTGGATTTAGAAAATTTTCTTACATTGAGCTTAAAAAGGCCACACTGAACTTCAGTGAAGAGATTGGAAGAGGTGCAGCAGGTACTGTGTACAAAGGGACCTTGTGTGATGGACGAGTCGCAGCAATCAAGCGACTCAATGAAGCTAACCAAGGAGAAGCTGAATTTCTAGCAGAAGTAAGTACCATAGGGAAGCTTAATCACATGAATTTGATAGAGATGTGGGGATATTGTGCAGAGGGAAAGCACAGGCTTTTGGTTTACGAGTATATGAAGCATGGATCTTTAGCAGAAAATCTTTCCTCCAACGCACTTAAATGGGAGAGACAGTTCGAAATTGCAGTGGGCGCTGCGAAAGGTTTGTCATATTTGCATGAAGAATGCCTAGAGTGGATCCTACACTGTGACATAAAGCCGCAGAACATTCTGCTAGACTCCGATTACCAACCGAAGGTGGCAGATTTTGGTTTGTCTAAGCTGTTGAATAGGACTGGGCTCAACAACTCAAGCTTTTCAAGAATAAGAGGAGCCAGAGGTTACATGGCTCCTGAGTGGGTATACAACCTTCCCATAACCTCAAAAGTTGATGTTTACAGCTATGGGATAGTTGTTTTGGAGATGGTAACCAGAAAGAGTGCAACAGGTATGCCAACCTTTGACAATGAAGAGGTGACAGGTGATGGAAGATCGGTTAAATGGGTGCGGAAGAAGATGAATGCGACTAGTGCTGGAGAATCTTCTTCCGCACCCATTGTTGGGGTGTGATTACAACGCAAAAAAGATGGAGCGTCTGGTTAGAGTGGCTTTGAATTGTTTGGAAGAAGACAAAGATGCAAGACCTACCATGAGTCAAGTGGTAGAGATGCTTGTGCGTAGTGAGGATGAGTTATAAGCTGCTTGTTACCCAATTATGAAGTCTCCGATGTTATCGCAAACTTTTATCCATGGCTTCTGATGTTTCAGAATTAATGAATATATATTATCGTATACGTACTCTGGCAAATCAAAAGCATTTGTACAATAAAAATTTTAAATAAAGATTGGCTCCGATTCTGGGTTTAATTGTGTGGCATTATAAAGCTTTTCACTCGGTAAACTTTTCAACTAATCAAGGACAGCTACTTGGATTTTCCTCCTATGGTATTACTTATATACATACCATTTAGCAGAAAGATATAATCATGCTTAAGCTTATCAACTTGTTTCTGAAGACATGCAACAGAAGTTATCAAGTTTCTAAGCTTTCTAGCCAAAAATAATAAAGGAGATACAAAAGGCAAGAATATATCTACCAACAACAGTTACTTCCATGGTGTTATGTACAAAATGACGTCCACATGTTACCTAAGCTTAGTCATCTTCCTTTACGTTGGTACTCGTTTCAACATCTTCCGCAATGTGGTAAGTTGAAAGGAAAAAGGAACTCTGATTCTTTCGCAGGAACCTGCATGAAAAAATAACTGACCTGTCAACCAGCATAAGAAAATGACAAATAGTAATCTTCTGGGAAAGGGAAAAGAGAAAATTATTGATGATTACAAGTAAATCCAAACTATTTTCCAAAAAATTCCTCCCAGAGATGTAGTAGAAGTCTATATTTTTCACTCCAAGAATTGCTGAAGTTTTTCTCAAAGAAGTGCAACATTTTTGGTTTACAAAACATGACACCAGTAGGATGTTTGTAAAATTTGTAAAGCTTAGTTGAACTAACTTTTCTGCACCAACCCAGCCACATAAGGTACAGTCACCAGCTTCCAAATTCATTATTACTCCAGTGATGCAAAAGTTTTTACAGATATCCATATGCATTGAAGACCATCATAAAGTTCAAAGTGAATATAAGCAATCAAACTCTTTCAGCAATAGCCACCATCCAGTAGTTATACATCATATACAATTATACATTATATAGAGTATATCTTGTCATCAGAAACTGACTCTAGTTGAAAGATAAAATTATAATTGCCTAGAAACAAAAAAAGAAAAAAAAGAAAAAAAGAAAGGATTTAAAAACAACCAATGCAGTGAATCAGAACACAGCTTCTGCCAAGATTAAAATTTAATCATAAAATGATAAAGAGCTCATACTCGAGGAAGTCCAGTAACATTTGCTGCAACTTTGTCGATGTTTCCTCTTCAATTTTTGCATGGACCAATAACTCTGGCAATTTAACTACAAATGACAGATTACAGTAAACTAACACTAGCTAATTAAGATCGTTAGAACTTTTATATGACAAAGACGCAATAAATCATCTATCCCAAAAAGAAGAACATGAAGACCAAAAACTGAAATGTAGATCTTTATGTCAAAAATTCTTTGACGAGTTAAAAAATGCAATGACAACAACACTATCATTGCTTTATATAAGTGAACACATGAAGTGGTATATGTTTCTCAACACATTGACTTTGTCTATCAAGGACAAGCTTACCAAAGAGGCGTAATAGATGCTCAGCACCATATATAGTTGAGGGAGCAACCATAACTGCCATGGTGTCTTCATATTGTTGGCGCTCACTTTTGTACAGAAGCATTATTGGCAAAGCCTTGTCAAAGAAAGAATGTAATCCTTTTATCATTTCCCTAGTTGAATCAGCTATCCTATACAGAGGAAAGGTTTAATTTTTGCTTATGTATCGGAATTGTTGATTAGAAAGAAAACTGCTCTGCAAAACCAGCTAAGCCTTAACTATAACAATTCAAAAATTGCCTGAGTAGAAGGAAGAGATCAAAAGGACACAAATAGTCAGATATTGAACTTACAACCCATCCTTCTCCAACCTATAATGACGATATTTCTCCAAAATGTCATCCACAGTCGGGGTGCACGGAAGTTTAACAAGCTGCAAGAAAGGTCATATAATCAAATACGTACCATGTTATGCATGACACTGAAATACAATGATGAATGTTAGATACTTGTATACCGTATAATCATTAAAAAAAAAAAAAAAAAAAAACTTAGTTGCTCAAGTCTATTTTAACAGGTGGAGGCAGCAAATGAATGACATTACTATGTATACATATATTGACAACATAATTAACCAATGCCATCTAATAATCGAAATGGTAGTTAAATTAAGTCATTTATCTTTGATAGCAACGGATGGTAGACCATCCAACAACAGTAACTTATATTAAATCCAAAGGGGAATAAATCTCGCCAGAAAATGCACCAATGCATTCCTACTATTGCACTTTACTCATTGTAATTAAATGCCCATAAAATATAAGAACAATTTAAGAAGTCAGTAGGCTTTATATCCCATGGGTTCAAAAAATTAAAGCAAAGTACTTGTCATACCAAAAATTACTTATTAAAAAATAAGTAAAAAAAATGAAGAGTAGACATACATGAAGGGGAAACAGCAAAAGGCTCAAAAGAACAAGAAAATCTATACAAGTACTATAGAACCTTTGGTCTAGAATGCACATCTTCTATTATCAAATATAACAAGGTATTATGACAGGGACAGAATATAACTACCTTGCCCAGATGTGTAATTAATCCACAATCATCAACTAGTTGCTTCTGTAGAGTTGGCGGAATTTGGAAGTTCACAAAATTTTCCATTGGTATGTGGCCCTTTTCCTACCAATTGAAAAGCCATGGGCTTAGGAAGTAGATACACAAGCGATTGATGGATAACATTAAGTTAACTGGAACGAAAATTAAGTTAACTTCCATCAACTGAATGAATTTTCAGTTGAACGGATCCATAGAAATTAGGTATGCATGCATCAGCATAATGAAAGTTAATTAGGCAGATGTACACCAGAGCATACCTTATCAAGACAGTCATTCTTTCGTTTCTTGCCCCTTGCAACTGCATATAGCCAGACCAGCTTAGAGGAAATCTAATTTCAAGAATAATACCTCTGCTCCAAGGAACTCCAAAGACATTCATGAAAGCAAAAAACTTACACAGCCAGTTATTGCCTCAATCGTACACAGTAAAAGGTCACATTAATATTGACTAGTTCTCGTAAGAGCACATAACAACTTAAAGCAATGTTGCATTTGAAGGGCCTCCTTTTTGGTTGAAGGAAAACAATTGCTTGTTTGCCTATTTCTCAATAAGTCATCTCTTTTCTATTAACTTATCAGATATATCTAGAAAACCAAGGAAAATGTCCAAAGAATACAGCCACAACTAGAATGTCACTTCACACCAGAATCAGGGAATGCATGCAGAAGACATTGTTCTGTTTAATTCACCTTCAGTCCACTTTCAACAGAGTTTATGGTAACAGTTTAGTTTCTTTTCCCTTGTCTGTAAGGACAAAACTTATGATCCATCAATTATAATGCTTAACCCCAACTAAATGTAGGCATGTGATAATATGCTAACATTCCTGCTTTATGCAGTAGATAGTTCCAGTTTTATTGCTCAATAAGGACAAGTTAGATGACTACATGCAAGAAATTACTTCTATAAAAGAAGGACGAAAAAGCTTAACCCATAATTACACAGATTCAAGTTTAGGAAACAGATAAACATGAGATTAAACCTAACCATCAGTACTTCTTGGTTTCATCTGTGATGCATGCCCTAGCTTTAAATTCTTTGATTCAATTGTTTTGTTGTTGGCCAGCTGCCTTTGGACATTCTCATCTGTACGTTTCAGCAGACAATCCACACTGACCCATTCATCCCAGCTGTTGGAAGAAAAAAGTTCAAGAGACTAAAACTTCTGACAGTTTGTTATTAGTACAGTAAATCATCAATAAATGGAAAAATCTTAAGTATGCCAACTTAAAAGAATTAAAAAAAAAAAAATTCTTCATCTAGTATATTTGTTATAGAAAATTTAACACTTTCTACAAAATTGTATTATGGCGAAAATAAAATTAAAATTTTCCAAAAAAAAAAATCACAACAGCTATTGCATTAGTTGGTGTTATAAAGCTGTAAACTAAATTAAAATGCAACAAGTCTTAGAACTAATTCAACAATTATACTTCCAAGGTCTAACAATTTAACAATCTGAAGTTAAAATAAACCTTTATTTTTCTTTCAAATACAATTATAAGATCTAAGAAACCACCTGCATTTGTCCTGAACAAAAATTATAATTCATTAATTCTTCAACAATCTGTCATTAGTTATATAGACAGGTAGATAGACTCACATGTTATTCCACCCCTGCAAAACAGAGAAAAGATTATGCAATCAAGACACTTTAACAATAATATTCCTGTTCTTTCATAAACCAAGCAACTACAAAAATTAAAATTTAACACAACCAAAGACCATACTTACAAGGTAATGAACAAAATATATAGTGCCCTTCTTCCGGTAATGGACTTTTTTCACCTTAGAAGTAAAACAGACTATTATTGTCAGAACAAAAAATAATCCTTAAAAAAGGAATTGGTAGACTCTATAAATGCTGCAAGCAATTTTAAAGTCATATATGAAATGATTATCTTCCTTCAATTGGTCGAATTATTTACATAAAACTAGGTTCCGTTGATTCAAACAAACGATATAAACAATTTCCTACATTTTCACTCCCCTCAAACAATGAGAAAGAAAAGAAAAGTGACAGAGCACCTTGGCATCGTAAATGTGTTTGCAATGAAAAGCGAGGACCTTTTCATTTTCTTCAAACACGGGAGGAGAGTCGTCGTGTGTTTCTGTTTTCTCGGTGTCAGCGTCCATCTTCGTTGCATCATCAGACTCCGTGGCAGAATCGTTATTAAGCTCCGTGTTTGAGCTTCCCATTTTCGGCTGACTCGTTTTTATTTTAACTTTTGTAGCACCAACACACCGATTACTTAAAAGGAGGAATGGTATATTTATACCATTTTTTTACACTATTTTATAAGGGTAGTATTACATTTATTAACACTTTCAATTTACATAGGTTTTACTTGTTTAATAATAGGTCTCATCTAATTAAGTCAATCATAAACTCTCACATATAATTAGTAAAATGGATTAGTGAGACAGATTGGTGAGGTTAGTATTATTAATTTTATAAACATTATAATATGGCATATACTTCAATCATATAAATTCTCTTATAATTTATAATATTAAAAATTAAAAAAAATTAAAATTTTATATAATTGTGAGCTATGCTATATTATGATCTAATGAAAATCGGTTAAAAAAAATTGATGGAAGTGGCGTTACTCTTACTTATAAGCGGATATTCCAAAGTAAAATCTAAAAAAATAAAATAAAATAATGTGATAGTAAATAGTTTATGAAATTATGACAGATGCTCAGGGGTTCAGGATTGCGGGTGGGTTAGCTGGCCATGGTATTGGTATTTGGTAACATTGGGGTTTTAATTAACTAGTTCCTACACATACAGTATTTTGAAACACGTGGCACGTTATAATTACGCGACAACTCGCACTTTATTGTTGAATGAATCCAACGGACTACATCAAGCAACCATAATAAATCAGTTCAAAAATTACATTCTTTTTTAAATATAATAAAAATAATAATTATGAAATTTCAAAATTTCAAAATTTAATAATGATACACGTTTTCGAATGATATATCATCTCCTTTAAATATGGTATTTTTATAACTGAGATACTGATTATATTTCGTAGCACTATACTTTAGGATTTAGTATTAATATCACATGCCATTAATGATTTATAAACTTAAGATCCTATAAAACTTGTTTGTATACATTAATTCATACAAGAGTAAACAATTTTTTTTCCACCCAAGTAATGGTTTAACGAAATTTTTTCACCTTCAGACTTTTAAAGTATCACTTTATTATCTAAATTTATATTCTGTTTCCAATTTTAATATCGTTATAACCCTACATCATTACTACCCTCTTTTCCGATCATCACTCACCAAAACCTTTCAAACCTAACTCTCGCCAACCTTGTCAATCGCCGGCAATCGAGCTACTAGGGTTTGTACAGTTGCCCCTCCCTAGTTAAATTCTGATTAATCACATCCATCAAAATCAAACCTTCCACCACTAAAAGACTCATCGGTGTCCCCTCTTTAAAAGTCTCAATAGCTTGGAACGAATTTGCTCTTTATTTATCATTAGAATATAAATTTGAGTAATAAAATGGTATTTCAAAAATCTGTAGGTGGAAAAGTGTCATTAAACCATTATTTGGGTGGGAAAAAGTTGTTAACTCTTGGTACAATCAATGTTGTTTATATCTGTTTCAATGAATTTATTTTATATAAGTTTGTATGAGTAATATATTGCCCATGAATAGATAAAGCAATATAAAGATGTTGATAGAAGATTTGATATGATACGATGAGATTAAAATTCTGGATTTATTTTTGCAAAATTAAGACATGTTGTTAATGAGCAAACAATAAGCACCTTGATCCCACATAATCTAAGGGTCCGTTTGAGAGTTTTATGGTAGTGATTACGAAGGTAAATCACTGTAGTGATTTTGAGGGGTTTTTAGTAGTGGTTTTTAAAACATCTAACCTGTGCTTGGGAGTTTATTTTCCAACGGTTCCGATAGTTTTTTAAAATGATAAATTTACATATATGTCTATAAAAATACTTCAACTTTAACCAGTACTTGGGAGTTTTGTTTTTCAATTATAAGGTAAGAGTTTTTTATTTGTTTTTTACTCATTAATATTTTATAACTTCAAATGTGATAAAGTCTCTCCATCTTTCTTTGTCATTTTTTGCAGCATCTGAAATGATTGAAAAATTGTAACTTTACTTCTCCAAGAAAGCATCTAGAAATGAGATTTTAATATATTTTTTTTTATTGCTTAAACTTATTTTATATTTAATATAGTTGGAGACACGTATAATATAGTTAAATTTTGTTTTCTTTGGATATAATTGGGATAGTTTTGTATTAGATAGGATATTTGTGGAATAATATTTTAAAACCAACCAAAACACCATAATTTAAGGTGTTTCATAAACCCCAAAAAAATATGTTACACTGGTTCTGGGGGTTTTTGAGCCCGTTAAAACCAATACTTAAAAAATCTGACAAGTAATAATTTTAGAACACCTCAAAACTAATTTAATTAAAAACCCTTCAAAACTGTAGAAAAAAAAAACTTTCAAGCAGACTCTAAAACACTAAACAAAGCAATGGGATTTGAGTGATAGTCGTAAACTAATAGCCTCCCCTTTTTAGAGTTTAGACACACTAGGACAAACCCAAGGGACAAGGCAAGGCAAAGGCTAAGAAAAGCAAAAGGAAATTGCATAAAGCATGAAGCCACCTTAGACTAATACTTTGTTACTTATAAAAAAAAATGATGACCCTGGATTCAAAATAAAAACCCCACAGACTGGTCTCATGGTTGCCAGCCTGAATCGCAGATCTATTGAACCATACGGAGGTCGGTTTCCTCCCTCTCTCACATGTTGATTTTTATGGCTATGATATTGATATATCCAAATTGAAGATTGTAAAGACGAATGCTTGCAATCGTGTGACTGCAAGGGCTTCATGCTCGGTTTGGAAACGGTGTGTACAAATGTTATCCCAAATTTCTCTTGGTTAATGGACACCGTTAGCAGAATTTTGAAGGGTCACGTACGTCAAACGGGCTAAAGCTAGAATTTCAATATCAAAAACATGACACATCCAAGAAAACGTATTTGATATGCCCAAGGGTACGTCTTACTGAGTTGAAACAATGTACAAAAGACCCAAAGAAAAGATCATTGAGTTTGTTGATCTGGTTCGCCTGTGGGTTGGGGGAGTGGAAATAACCTGCACTTTGGTGTGGTGTTTCCTGGTGGAGGTGATGGAGATTGAATGCAACCATTCAAGGATATATTATCGCTGCAACTGGATTTAGAAAATTTTCTTACATTGAGCTTAAAAAAGGCCACACTGAACTTCAGTGAAGAGATTGGAAGAGGTGCAGCAGGTACTGTGTACAAAGGGACCTTGTCTGATGGACGAGATCGCAGCAATCAAGCGACTCAATGAAGCAAACCAAGGAGAAGCTGAATTTTAGCAGAAGTAAGTACATAGGAAGCTTAATCACATGAATTTGATAGAGATGTGGGGATATTGTGCAGAGGGAAAGCACAGCTTTGGTTACGAGCATATGAAGCATGGATCTTTAGCAGAAAATCTTTCCTCCAAAGACTAAATGGGAGAACGGTCGAAATTGCAGTGGGCGCTGCGAAAGGTTTGTCATATTTGCATGAAGAATGCTAGAGTGGACCTACACTGTGACATAAAGCCGCAGAACATTCTGCTAGACTCCGATTACCAACCGAAGGTGGCAGATTTGGTTGTCTAAGCTGTTGAATAGGACTGGGCTCAACAACTCAAGCTTTTCAAGAATAAGAAGAACCAGAGGTTACATGGCCCCTGCGTGAGTTTAACATTCCCATAGCCTCAAAAGTTGATGTTTACAGCTATGGGACAGTTGTTTTGGAGATGGTAACCAGAAAGAGTGCAACAGGTATGCCAACCTTCGACAATGAGAGGTGACAGGTGATGGAAGATGGTTAAATGGGTGAGGGAGAGATGAATGCGACTAGTGCTGGAGATCTTGGATGAAGATATTGTAGACCCCTTGTTGGGGTGATATCAGTAACGGATCCAGAAATTTCTGTTAGGGTGGGTCAAAATAAAAATTATTATAATTACTATTTTTGTCCGTTAATTTTTTTTTTAGGGTAGGTCAAAATATATAAATTTACATATTAATATTAAAAAAAAAAAAATTTGAGGTGGAACAGTGGTGGATCCGCACGGGTGTGATTACAACGCAAAAAAGATGGAGCGGCTGGTTAGAGGGGCTTGAATTGTTGGAAGAAGAAAAGATGCAAGACCTACCATGAGTCAAGTGGTAGAGATGCTTGTGCGTAGCGAGGATGAGTAATAAGCTGCTTGTTACCCAATTATGAAGTCTCCATGTATCGCAACTTTTCTCCAAGGTTTCTGGTTTCCGTATCCCACTAAGCTTATGATGTTTCAGAATTAATGAATATATATTATCGTATACGTACTCTGTGGCAAATCAAAAGTATTGTACAAAAAAATTTTAAATAAAGATTGGTTCCGATTCTGGGTTTAATTGTGTGGCATTATAAAGCTCTTCACTCGATATAACTTTTCAAGGACAGCTACTTGGATTTTCCTCCTATGATATTACATATACATACCATTGAGCAGAAAGATATAATCATGTTAAGTTATCAACTTGTTTTGAAGACATGCAACAGAAGTTATCAAGTTTCTAAGCTTTCTAGCCAAAAATAATAAAGGAGATACAGAAGGCAAGAAATATCTACCAACAACAGGTATTCCTGGTGTTATGTACAAAATGACGTCCACATGTTACTAAGCTCAGTCATCTTCCTTTCCGTTGGTACTCGTTTCAATATCTTCCGCAATGTGGTAAGTTGAAAGGAAAAAGGAAATCTGCTTTTGCAGGAACCTGCATGAAAAAATAACTGACCTGTCAACCAGCATAAGAAAATGACAAATAGTAATCTTCTGGGAAAAGGAAAAGAGAAAATTATGATGATTGCAAGTAAATCCAAACATTTTCCAAAAAATCCTCCCACAGACGTAGTAGAAATCTATATTTTTCACTCCAAGAATTGCTGAAGTTTTTCTCAAAGAGTGCAACATTTTGGTTTACAAAACATGACACGAGTAGAGTTTGTAAAATTTGTAGAGCTTAGTTGAACTAACTTTCTGTACCAACCAGCACATAGGTACAGTCACCAGCTTCCAAATTCATTATTACTCCAGTGATGCAAAAGTTTTTACAGATATCCCACGCATTGAAGACCAT